TCTTGATCCAATTTGAAGGAGGAGGAGTCCATCCAAGGAGACGTGGAATTCTAGTGGACTTAACAGATTGATGGTTGAAAGAGGACCAATACTCCACAACTCTGTTAACAATGATGTGAAGCATGTGTGGAATATTCAAAGAGTCATGCCTATACAGAATCTAGTTCCTATGGTTCCAAATAGACCAGATCAAGAAGGCAAAAACACATTCCCTTGGAATATTAAATAACAAACTAAAGGTAAGATTATAGCAATGGGATTGCAACCATTCAAAAAACGGAATTGCAATTTGATTATTCGAGGTAATATCTAGGAGAAAATGTTCCAAGACGCTTTTGGTCACAGGACAACACCGAAATAAATGATCAATAAATTCCAACTTGGCCTTACAAAGGGAGCAGGTAGAATTCTTAGTGATACCAAGATCTTGACGATAATCAAGAGTTTTAACTCTACCGTGAAAAAGGAGCCATAAAAAGGATTGGTTTAAGTACCATTTTAGTCCCTCAACTTATCACTTTGGTACCAAAATTGTCCCTCAGCTTTAAAAAGTACCAAAATTATCCTTGAACTTTCATTTTTGGTACCAAAATGGTCCTTCCATCAGTTAAACGCCAGGTGGCTCGTTAAAATGCCACAAAATCACTGGCTTTTTTCATTTTTAATGATGTGTAAATCCAACTATGAAAATTTTGTTACCATGGCATTTTTTTTTTTACACGTGGTATATTTTTTTACACATCATCTTATCACCTTTTTAACTTTCCCTTTTAATGGGGCCCACATGACTTTTTTTAACTTTTCTTATTCTTTCTCTATCTCCTCTCTTCCCCTCTTCTTCTTCCTCTCCAGATCTGGGTTCTCCAGCTTCTGATCGTCTTCTCCGGCATCCCCTTTTTTTGTGCTCGAAAGCCTTGGGCTTCCAAGTTTTGCTGCTTGAGCCGTCGAGTTCTCCGGCTGCTCAAGCCCGATGGAGCCGGCCTGTTCCCTGCTCCGATGACCCCATGAGGTCTCTCGACGACTAGGCCCTTCGGGTGCCTTTTTTGGGTTTTTGTTTTCTGTTTGTTTTCTTTGTTTCCTGTTTCTGTGTGTTGCCCGCTTGCTTGCAGGTCTCACGGCTCCTTACTCCCTCACGCAAATCTACCGAGCTACACGCTGGAATTCCCAGATCTGGCGACCGTCGCCCAGATCTGGTCTTCGCCTATTCATCTTGGTTCTTCGCGAAACCCAGACGGGTTCCGCGAGGAACCCAACCCAGTGTTGGGTGGCGGAACCTAACCTGGTGCTAGGTTTCTTGAGGAACCCAGTTCCTTGAGGAACTTAGTTTTGGGTTCCTGGGTTTCGTGAGGAACCCAGATCTGGGTTTCGTGAGGAACCCAGATTTGGGTTTCATGAAGAACCTAGTTCTGGGTTCTTAGGTTCCTCGAAGAACGTAGGTTTTAGGTTTCGCTCTGTTTTTCTTGCTCTGTTTCTTTGGCTTCTTGCTTTGTTTGGTTGCTCTGTTTTTCTTGCTCTGTTTCTTTGGTTTCGAATCGAGCCTGAAAAGGGAAATGACAGAGAAACGAAGACGAAGAACACTGCCATTGTTGGGGAACTCAACTAAAACTAGAAAAAGAAAACAATCTGTTTTTTTTTTTCATGTGGGCCCCACAAAAAGTGAATCTAAAAAGTGGGGAAGCAATCTGACGTGTAAAAATGCCACGGTGTCAAAAATTTCCTTGCTGGATTTACACGTCATTAAAAATGAAAAAAGCCGGTGATTTTGTGGCATTTTAACGAGCCACCTGGCGTTTAACTGACGGAAGGACCATTTTGGTACCAAAAATGAAAGTCCAATGATAATTTTGGTACTTTTTAAAGCTGAGGGACAATTTTGGTACCAAAGTGATAAGTTGAGGGACTAAAATGGTACTTAAACCAAAAGAATTGAATCTTGGGAATGGTGGGGGTTTTCCAAATCCATTTCCAGTTTTGATGATTTAAGGTCTTAACAATAAGCAAACAGACTATAGAGTCAGAAGAGAAGCACCCGTCAGATTCTCCCCTCCAACAGAAATGATCAGAATCGCTGACATAGCAAGGGAGAGGAATAGCAGCAATAACGCTTGTAATCTCTTAGGGAATGGGGTATTCAACAGCATCCAGATCAATGGAATCATTACTAAGATATCTGAGAGTAACAAGTTAGTAGCAAATTGAGAAAAGAGGCCATAAAGAATAGCATTCAATGGTGTCTTTCCAACCCAACAATCGGACCAGAAAAGAATAGAATGACCAGTAAAAGCGGTCCATCGAATGCCATCTTTGAAGATAGAATACCCCTTAGCTATACTTTTGATAACAGGAGAACCACTTGTGGGCAAGGATATGCGGGGGTTGTCAACATAATATTTCTTCGATATGACATCTTTCCATAAATGTCTCTTATCCGTGTGGAGTCTCCAATTAAGCTTGGCCACTGCAATAAGGTCAGTGTCTCTAGCTTTCTTAATACCCAAACCCCCAAAATCTTTTGGTTGACATATGGTATCCCAGCCCACAAGATGAATTTTATGGTGGAACTCATTAGTCCCCCAAATGAAGTTCCTAGAGATTCTATCAATCTCATTATGGATAGATGAGGGGAGCCAACAAGTCTACATGTAATAGTTGGGAATTGAAGACAAAACAGAGGAGACCAACATAACTCTACCTACCATTGAGAAGGATCTAGACTTCCATCCTGCCAATGTTGATCAACTTTTATCAAGAATATATTGGCAAGAATTCTTGGAGGCTCTTTTGGAAGAGATAGGAACTTCCAAATATTTTCCCAATTTATTCGCTTCTTGAAAACCCAAGAGATGACAAATGCTCTGTCGAGTCTTAATGTCAACATTTCTGGAGAAAAGAACTCTAGATTTATCAGTGTTAACCTTCTGACCCAAACGAGCACAAAACAGATTAAGGAGGTTCTTAATGTACTCACAGTTAGATAGAGAGGCTTTACCTACAAAAATCAAATCATCAGCAAAAAACAAATGAGAAAGAGTAGGGCCTTGCTTACTAGCTTTGAATCCTTTCCATAAGCCCATGGCCATGTCTCTAGAGATTTTAATAGATAAGAACTCCATGCAGAGGGTGAACAAATAAGGGGAAAAGGGATCACCCTGTCGAATGCCCCTAGATGGGATGAATTTCTCAGATTTATCACCATTAACCAAGATAACGATATGAGAAGTAGAAATACAGGACATAATAAGATCCACCACCCGAGAAGGGAATTGAAAATAAACAAGAGCTTCTCTAATAAAGCTCCACTCAAGGCGATCATAAGCCTTTTCAAGATCCAATTTAATAATCACATCACCAAACTTGCCCCCCTTTTTTTTTGGAAAAGGAGTAAACAAGTCTTGCAAGATGAGGATGTTATCAGTTCCTTTCCTTTTTGGAACAAAACTAGTTTGACATGGGGAAATTAAGGTCTCCAACACGAGCTTAATCCTATTAACCAGGATTTTAGAAATGATCTTGTAGGTGGTGTTACAGAGTCCAATTGGTCTGAATTGCTGAACTGTTTCAGGATTCTTAATCTTGAGGATAAGGGAAATAAGGCAATCATTCCATCCATTAGGAATAGAGGATGAAGTGAATGCATTTTTAATATGAGTGCATAAAATCTCAACAACCACTGGCCACATCTTTTGAAAGAATATTGGGTGAAGTCCATCTGGTCCTGGGGCCTTAAATGGCTTCAAAGAGAATAAAGCATCTTGAATGTCCTTATCAAAGGGAATGTCATCAGCAATATTAGAAGCCACAGCATTCAATGAAAACCCCCAATTAAGGAGAAGAATCATGATAAAAGTGGGTCAAAGAAGAGGTAAATAGATCTTTAAAGTATTGAGCAATAAGATTAAGGATATCCCTTTGATCATTGACCCATTCATTAGTAGAAGTCCGAAGACAATGAATCCTATTATGATTCTTGCGTTTAATGGTAGATAAATGAAAGAATGTAGAATTTCTATCACCATCTACCACCCAATTTGTGCGAGATTTCATGAACCAAAGTTCCTTTTCAAGTTTAAGGATGTTAGCATATTCTTTGCTTAGATCATTGTCTAAAAAGGAGAGAAAAGTCGAAGGTTTGTAGAGAGAGCCTTTTGGATACAACTCAGTCTAGCATTAAGCTCTCTTTTTTTTTCAAAGATATTATCAAAGCTGTTACGGCTCTAGATCTTGCAAAGAGATTGCGTATTAGCAACACTAAGAGGTAGTAGAAGCATTGGAAGACCAAGCAGGAGTAATCATATTTTTGAAGTTAGGATAATCAAGCCAAAACTTTTCACGTCGAAACGGTCTCACTTGTTTTAACAACAGTGTGTTCAAGGTCTAATAAAATAGGATTATGATTAGAGCCAATACAAGGAAGATGGAGAATATTAGCTTTAGGAAAACAAAGGCACCAATCGAGGTCAGCCTAAGCTCTATCAATATGTTTGCGGATAATTTGGCTATTATCCCTCATATTAACCTATGTAAATTTCCCACTAGAGTAGCCCAAATCCAAGAGGTTACAGTCATTCATGTAGTCAGTATAAGCTTTGACTCTGTATTGGCAAATCGGGTTACCACCAAACTTTTCAATAGAGTTGACTGGTCATTGAAATCACCAATGACAAGCCATGGTTTAGCAAAATATTTAGAGAACATTATCAATTCATCCCATAATTAAGATCGAATCTCAAATTGTAGCTTGCCATAAACACCAAAGAGGAACCAATGAATTTTAGAAAAGATAGGATGAGATCTTACCTTGACAATGGCATGGATACCCTGAATTGTGGACATTATAACATCGACAATCACCTCATCCTCATTCCAAAGCAACCACATCTCAGTCCTGCCAATAGATTCAACCAATGTTTTGAAAATCGACCCGGAGGTCAAACCGTTTTGACCTTCGGTTCTCGATTTGATTAGTTTAACCGGTTTAATCGTTCAAACCGCTGATTTAACCCCATATCAATAAATATAATATGATGTAATGATTTAACAAGACAACTGTGGTGGCTGGACTGGTTTGTCACTTCGCCCATTACAATGGAAACACGGGTTCGAGCATGGTGGGGGTCAAAATGTTATTATCACATTTCTAAACCTTTCAAGTAATGTAATTTTTTAATTAATTTATATAAAAAATTATAAAAATTAATTTTAAATTAATCAATTAAAAT